AGAGCTTGCTAGCAGAGGCCAACTGTACATGTCTATTGTACAGTGTTTTATTGTAGCCCTATTGTGTGTGTGTGTGTATTTATACTTGCTCTACTATGTAGTACTGTGTGAGTACAGCATGCCAGAAGTCAGTTCCTATGTTTAATTTATTGTAGTATTATTTCTATTGAAATTAAATGGACCATTCCATAAATTGTTTATTAAATAAAAAATATCCTCTGAATATTACACTTGTTATCCTCAGAAATTTGTAATGGAAGAAAAACACAAAAAAATCCTACGAAAGAATCGCCCTCAAATTGAGGATGATTTAGAAGTGGATGACGTATGGTCGTATCTTATCGCAGATGAGGTGTTTGTACCAAACGATTACGATAACATGTTCAAGCAGAAGAGAAAACCGATGGCGACACTGCTGGATAAAATGGAGCAAAAAGGACATACAGCATTTAAGCTTTTTGTGAAAGCTGTGAGTGAGTCTGGCAAGATACACTTGCTTGACTGCTTGAACGATGACAAGCTTTGCCCAAATGGTAATAAAAACTATGACAATTTAAAGAAATAATATTTATCATCACCCATATCATAACAATAACCAGCATCAGCAGCCAAAAAAATTTCTTCAGTTTTCAATTTCTGTAGTATTAAATTTCCTCCTCATGGGAGACCATTACCTATGCAATAAATGAGTTATACATAATAAAAAAATAAAAAAAAAAAAAGGTAAGAAATTAATTAGACAAAACAAGAAAAATAATAATTATTATAATAATAATTCCCTAAATCATGTTAAGTCTCTCCCAAAGCAAGTGTTTATAGCCTATCAATCTTCCTCAGGTACAACTTTAAGTAACTGAGAAAATCAGTTAAAATTCATGTGCGCAAGTTACCTCAGCAACTCCAAACTGACAACATCATTTTCCTAGTGTCACCAACCATGTACAAAAAAACAAATGATGTGAAGCATTACAAAAAAGCCAAGTTGCTTCTGCTGTTTATTGAACTCATTAAAGTTATCCAAATGTTTGATTATGATAATATTGTTTTAACCTTAAACAGAAAATGAAGAAACACAGACACCAAATAAGGAATTGATGACAAACAGTACATCTGAATTGACAATAAAGAAAGGTAAAAATAAGAATACGGTATGTTACAATATGAGATCTTGAGTAGGGCAACCTTTTATTAAACATGATCTTTTGGGCTGCACTGGGAAATACTCAAAGCTATAGAAAGTAAGTCTGGTCTTCAATGTCAATGTCCCCTCACCCTTAATAGAATTTAGATGAGATAGAGAGGCCACTGCCATAAAAGTATTTTTGGCCTGGGGGAGAGGGGTTGCGAAAAAATAAGAATACAAAACTAAATCTCGCAATGCGGAACTAAATCCCCACTCCAACCAAACTAATGCCCTATATCTATTAAAAAAAAAAAAAACACTTTGAAATGTTAAAGCCATGAAAATATGATATAATTAATATAAAAAATTGTCATAGAATATATTATACAGTCGGTCTGACCAGTAAAATTTCAAATTTTTTTTTAACAGAGGTCCAAGACGAACCCGATTTTGTCGTTACTGATCCACCTAGTTCATGCACAGGGGACTGTAATGAAAGAATCAGACAACTATTGAAGAAATGTGAAGATGAAAATGCCATTCTGAAAATGGAAGTGAATATTTGCCACAAAAAAATCAATGACTATGCAATGCAGAATGGCCACCTCATGGAAATGAATACGGCTTTAGAAGCTGCCAGGGTGCAACAAGAAACTGACTACAGAATGACAACATGCCTCCTCCAAGAGAAGATCAGAATGCTTATGGCACAGAATGAGCATTTCTACAGTGGGCAAAACCTCTTGTTTTATCAGAACAGACAGCTCATGTGTGACACAAGCCTGACAAATGAGCTACAACAAACGAGAATGACACGGAAGAGAAGTTTCAACTATGATGCTAATGACTCCAACTGCAATTTAAAAAAGAAGAAGAAGGATATGTAACAAAAAACGAGGGAATACATTTGGGTAGAAAGATTTATGATGGTTAGGGGATTATTTGGGTAGGGATGATTTGGGTAGGAGAGAGTGAAAAATGAGGGTTGGTCATAAAGGGAAATATTATTTGTACAAAATTACTGATATTGGAATGGAGTCAGGTATTCGTTTTTACTTTACAGCTTAAAAAAATCCAAGTAGGCCTATGTTCTTAGTTTCAACGATATGGCTTGTAAGTAGGCACAAGCAACAGGTTTTTTATGTTTCCTTTTTTGCACTGTATGACAGTCCACCTAATGACTTTAGATGAAGGTGTGATTTTATATGATTCGCCAGCTCTTTGCTCATCAACCATAAAAACCAGCTGATAACCGTACTACAATAAAATCTCTCTGTGCCAACCAATTACTTGACAAGGTCAGTGTAATGCTTTTCGCATTTATCTCAATTCTATGTTCTATGTAAAGTTAATGACTTAGATGAGGGTACAACTTTAATGTTTATATCTCAATTCTATATTTTTTTCTTCTTCCTATTAAAGTTAAGCTAATGAATTAAGATGAAGGTACAACTTTGATTGTTTATCTCAATTCTATATTTCCACTTCCTATTAAAGTTAACCTAATGAATTAAGATGAAGGTGCAACTTTAATGTATATCAATAACATATTTTTCTTCCTATGAAAGTTAACCTAATGAATTAAGATGAAGGTGCAACTTTAATGTATACCAATAACATATTTTTCTTCCTATTAAAGTTAACCTAATGAATTAAGATGAAGGTGCAATGTTAATGTATATCAATTACATATTTTTCTTCCTATTAAAGTTAACCTAATGAATTAAGATGAAGGTGTAACTTTAATGTATATCAATTACATATTTTTCTTCCTATGAAAGTTAACCTAATGAATTAAGATGAAGGTTCAACTTTAATGTATCTCAATTCTATATTTCCCCTTCCTGTTAAAGTTAACCTAATGACTTCAGATGAAGGTAAAACTTTAATGTATCGCAATTATATATTTTTCTTCCTATTAAAGTTAACCTAATGATGAAGGTACAACTTCAATTGTTTGTTTCAAGTCATCCTTTTTGGATGCAGATGAATTTCTTCAATGATCTTCCTTTCCTTTATTAAAATTATTAATTTATTTATTTATGCATTCATGTGTTCCATCATCTGTATGTTCATTTGTTTACTTACTTATGCATTCATGCATTACCGCATTGTTATTGTTTAGAAAGTAACAAGTTTAAAAGTAAAATGATAAGCTTACACAAAGTGGTCAGACTGTACTTACTATGCATATTATACTGCAGCAATAGTATTTGGTCTTACAATCTCAGGGATATAAGTTGAAATCCTATCATAATCACATTGTTTGAATGAGAAAATACTTAATACCCTGTCCACACTATCAAATTTTCTTTGACAAAAACCTGCTGTATGCCCATATATGGGCATGATGTGTCATGTGATGTCATCATGACCATGTTAAGGCATGTCACATGTTTTTGTCAAAATAGAATTTGATAGTCTGGACAGGGCTTCACTCTTTTTATACCACGAAAATTAGGTACCTTTTTATGATTTTAAGTGATGTGTATATGTGAACACACAGTATATCGGAGCATGATTATGTGCAGATTACACAAGTTATTCCTTTTGTAATGACTAGGTTTATTTATAATAAGCCACTTTTTGTACATTCCTTGATGTATACATTCCTTCATGCAAACTTCTTGGTAGAATTCCACAAATTAGAAAAGCACTTTGTTATAATGATATTTTACACACAAATATATATATTCTAAATAAAGTGTTCATATTTTATCTGTTATTTTTTATGTGAATTCTATTTTTTATTGCTAATAATCAAATATTATTTCCTCAATCAAAAATTAAGCTGTACACAATTATAATTATTTCAAAAGAAATAGCAACAGATCTGTTTCCGTTAATGTAGAACAGAATAGAAGCAACATCAAAATGTTTTCTGATGTCAGCCTTCTTGAATTTGACCCCCGATTCTAAATTCATAATGAATTCAACCCCTTTTTTCGAAATTCCTGGTAAATTTTGTACCAGATAGTGCCAAATTCACTATCTATGTTATCTCTATAGTACTGGCACAACCGATCTATGTGCTTCAGAAGTAACATAATTATGAGTACAGATAACACAGGTGTCATTTTCCTATGATCCACAAATAAATTTAAAACACCTGCTGTCTGTTCAACAGATTTGATTTGATTTTGATTTAATAAATCAAACAAGTAAAAAAAAAAAGACAAAAAAGACATGAAGAACAAACAAAATTACAACGACCATTAGAAAATATTGGTGAATGGTCCTCTGAACCGCTGCTAAGAGACATATTTCTAGAGGGGTAGTTGATAGTGTATGGTTGTTTCAGACATTAGTTGATGGTGTATGGTTGTTTCAGACATATGTGATGAAACAAGTCATTGCTTTGCCTGTTGGAAGTCTGACAATAGGGAGATTTCGATTTGCACAAGAATTTGACGTTGATTCACTTAAACTTGACCCAACTACCGTCCTCTGCACTACGATGATTTCCAAGAGCAAATTGTGGCCTAGAATCTACTCGACAACACAAATTTAATGTTCTTGCATGCGCAGATGACTTCTTAGTGACATCATTACATTTTACGTCCTACCGTCGTCATGCAATCGAAAGCTCCGTATTACTCTACTTCATCAAAATCTGATCAAACATTATAGACAGACAAAATCAGACAGCGTGGCTATGAATTGCTTCACACAGCTAATCACATCATGAGAATACTGGATGATTACATTCTAAACAAGCATAGAACTGAAAATACAAATACTGTATCCACGAACAACCCCCCACCGTAGTCATCATTCACAACGCTTATCTGCCAAGGAACTACATGACAGAATACAGAAGACTCAATGGTGCATTCGTCGCTCAAATCATGAACAAAAAACTGTGTTATAAACTTACCCCTTTTCCAGCTTGATTGCAGTAGGTGGCAGTGATGCAGTCTAATATTATGTTCAGTGGCTCCATCAAAAGCTGCCTTTCAATAAATTCACAAACCAATGGTAAGCAAGTGTTCCAGTAATATCTTGCTGAACTTATTACCTGCATGTAGTTATCTGCACGTCGTCCGTACCTAAATGAATGGTCATTAGGAGGGTCATTATGTTGACACTAGGAAGAATTAGAATAATGAGGATGATGATGATGATGATGATGATAATGATGATGATGATGATGATGATAATGATGATGATGATGATAATCATGATGATGATGATGATGATGATGATGATGATGATGATGATGATAATGATGATGATGATGATGATGATAATGATGATGATAATGATGATGGTAATGATGATGATGATGATAATCATGATGATGATGATGATGATGATGATGATGATAATGATGACGATGATGATAATGATGATGATAATGATGATGGTAATGATGATGATGATGATGATGATGATAATGATGATGATGAGGATAATGACAATGATGTACACAATGATGGTGTACATGATGATTATGATAATAATATTTTGACAATGATGGTGAGGTGATGATAATATATATTACTACAAGCTCCAAATTTTCCAAATGCATTATCACTGATACTGCATTGTGATCCACTAGATTCAATGCAATATCATAGATGACAACATTCCGATAAGTAACTCACCTAGTCGCATTAAGAAATGCTTCCAGGGCAGACCTTCGTATGACATTCTTCCCGTGCATATTGTTGATAAGACTCTTGCCAAGGACGCAGCTCGCAAAGCTCAGCATTTCTTGCCAAACTGTGTACTTGTGCCTGTAAAGTAAATGCGAAACAATTCTAACAGCGCACATTACAGTAAATTTTCTCTATGCGCTGAATTCAAATTCAAATTCATTTATTCACGTGTAATAATAATTCATGTAAAAATACAACACGAGTACTGGAAACTAAGGAAGCAAAAGCTTGAAAAAAGGTTTTACTTAGTAAACAAATAAAATAATTAAATAATGAAAACAATAAAAGAGAAATTACAAAACAAATCAATAAAAACATTACAGTAATTCAAAATGATGATCATAATAGTGAAATTAAATTAAAGATCTATGCATTGTGTTTATAAATGTTTCTGTTGTGAAAAAAACACAACTCAACATAACTTATCCTATTCACATTTAACCTTGTTTAAAATTTTAATAATGAATTATAATCATAAAATATGAGATAATTCCAAAATGTAACAATAGCTTAGGTATGGTATTTGTAGGTTTTTAATTGCGCTTTGTTGTTATAATATGTGAATTTGATTTTGCAAAAAAAAATGATTGATTAATAATTATAATCACAAACTCAATTTTTGAGTACATACTTATCTAACTTCTTGACTTTGCTAGCATACATATTATCATCAAATCTAAGCGCCATGCTAGTAGATTTTAAGACGAGTTGATGATTGCAGGTCTTGTACGCCATTTCTGAGAGACGAACCCAAACTTGTAACTCAACCAATGGCTCAGACCATTTACACTGTTCTACCAGATTAGCAAGCTATTTAGAAATTTCAAAGAGACAGATAAAAATCATATCATTTTTATAGAAACAAAAAAATTCTAATTACAACAAAAATATATATTGAAGCTTATTATTAGTGGTTTTACATATTTACCTGTATAAACTGATAATTACCTGTGCTACTTATCTATGACACCCCTACAAAAATAATAGAACAATCTGTTGTTCCAATGCCCACAATAACCTTATCCCTGCAAACAGTGTCCTGGAATGAACAAGTTCTATTATATTGAGGAGTGCTTTATAACAATTCCTATTACTTACCTCAGTAAGTGAGGGTTGTTCTTTGAATTCCAGAATGCCATTACTGCTCAAAGAATGCATTTCCAGAGCAACAAGGCATCTTGTCATTGGTCGCTGTCCATTGTTATTGCCCTATTGTGAATCAACATTCAAACAACATTCTTATAATATGTTTACAGTATGCTTTACAGAGAAATAATAATAATAATACTCAAACATTTGTAAGGCGCCAATTCCAAGAATGATCAAAGGCGCGAGCGTTATTACCCCTGGTCACTGGATAACATACAATGGCAAACAGGCACAAAGTGCAACTTCCTCTACTCCCTGGGGAGTGTCCCTAGTCGTTCGCTACTTCTTTAGGATGCTGCATGTATGAGTGATCTGTTTTGTCTAGAAGCAGGTGCAGGTATGTATCGTCGCTCACATCACGAACTAACACAATTAAATTCAATTCTGTTAGTTCGTAAAATCAAAAAAGCGCATCAAAATACGCGTTGTTGTTGTTAAGGACTTTTTGTGTGGTAAAGAATACAAAATTGCTTGACAACCAATACGCGCTTGTTTTGACGCGCTACTGTGATTTCACGAACTAACACAATCTACTTTGATTGTGTTAGTTCGTGATGTGAGCGACGGTATGTGTGTGGGTATGTGGGTAGATGTGTAGCAAAGTGTGTGGATGCATGCTGGTCTGTGAATGCATGTGTGGTAAAGTAAGCTTTAAAGAAAATATTGAGATGCATGTATGAGTGGTCGGTCTGTGGATGCAGGTGTGGTTTGTGATGTGTTTTGGTGTGTGAAAGATGTGGGTCTGTAAATGCATGCGTGGATCTAAAGAA